TAATTTATTGAACTCTTGGAGCTGCCGTGTGAGTTCTTTGAAATAGCTGCAAATTCACTTTCACTGCATTAATAAGAGCATTTCTGCTCAAATGAACCTACATTTATACCAGAAAGGTAAACAATCACCTCACTGAGGTGCTCTCATAACTCAGAGGGAAAACTGCCTCTTACAGCTGAACATTGCAGCAGAAGAACATTTAAAATGCACGTCAGGTTTCATCAGGTCACCTGAGCCGCACTTAGAAATCTTTAAACTGTCTCAACGAACAGCAGAACAGCCAACATGCAAACGATTCACTGCACTTAGAATGAATTTGATCTTTATATTGATCTGTTGATCTGATCTGTTATATTTACACTGTATACACAGGGATATCTATACGTTATACTTAATAATCAAATAACTTAATAGTTATTTCAAGTCTTTTTTTTTTAAAAAAGTCAAAACTGAACATGATCTAATGGAGGAACACTGTTAGTATATGTGTGTATTTAAGAGCCACCTGAAAATATTCAAAATTATAACTATTCTTATGTTTTATTTGTCAAATTATCTGGTGTTGTACATTTATAAAATATGAATGACTTTTTTAAAAGGCAGGGGTACAAGTATTAAAAGTACAATTATTCAGTTTTTTCATTTTTCTGCCAGATATGCCCTGTATCCAATGGTGAATATTAAAAAAGGCAAAATACATTCATGTATAAGTAATCCCTGAGAGCCAAAACCTCAGACTTCAGCTGAGCTAGCCTAGTTTTTATTGCTCTTGCCTCTATATGTTATCACAGAGTGGAAATCCCTAATATGGTCATCTCTGGTTCCAACCCTACGAGCTGCTCTCAGAAGGTGAGCTTAAAGGGAAGCTGAAGGGAGGTTAAACAACCTGAGACAGAGGACAAGTGAGGGGTTTCTTATTTTACAAAAACAACAAAGAAAGAAAAAAATTGTTTTGAACAGTCCAAACATAAGAATATAAAGCTGAACATAAGCATAATAACTGTCTAGTGAACTAGTAACATTTATCCCTACTATTAATAAAAACCCTCACTTGCTTTGAACTTATTTGTAACTTTGTAACTATTTCTGCCGCTTTTTATGCCAACAACCAACTGCAGCCCTCCAAATATCTTCCCAGAGAGCATCTGCACTGTTATAACTACTTCTGACAGACCATAAACAGACTCCTACAGTTAAACAATAGAACACTAGTCAGTCCTTTTTAATGAATTGCTACCATCTTGGACAAAGCTTGTTGAGCTACGATGGACTCTCATGCGGAGACTCAAACTAGTTTGGCTGCGTGTTAATATTATCAAACCCCTGTGGTTCTGCATTCCAGCTCAGCTGTGGGATTGTGAGCAATTTATAAGCACGGATATCAAAAAGACACGCTTTGGGCACAAATGTTTTCTGGCATGTGGGTTTCTGCGTTTGAGGACTGTTTACCTGGGCGGCAGCCCCTCCAGAGCTTTGTTGAGGCATTCTGGAGTGTTGTCTGTGTCTGCTGTGGAGAGAGGATAATCTGGAGTGTCTGCTTTGGAGTCGCCATCACATTCTCCCTCTGCGTCACCTGCCAGCCCCAACCTGTCATCGCCATCAGCCTCCTGCCGAGAACACAGAGATAATCAAATACCGACTTAAGACAGAGCAAGTCTGCACCTGACAAACAGGTCTCTGACATCTCATCATGAAAGAGTTACACTGAAATGGGTAAACAGGTAAACACTGCAGGAGTCAGGTCTAAACTAAGAACATCAACATGAGGCTGAGCAGACGGCACTTTAATTAGGTCAGTTTAGCCCCTACAGGGGAGGACAGAGACAGAGCAGACTTGGTGTTTGTGTCCTCTGAGGCTGGATCGGTCAAACAGGATTAGACATTAATAAATGACACATCTCACTAACAATTTCTTCGTTACCATAGGTAACTAAGCTTTTACTAACGCATTTCTCTCCCAAGTTAGAGCTACAGTTGTGACACTTCACAGCATGTCACTCAATGTTAGGCTAGTTTTTACATTTACGACGGCATCAGATTTTCCCCCATCTTTGGCTGTGATTACGTGATTGGTCCAGATTAGGATTGTGAAAATGTCACAGAGATTAAGATTATTATACTGTGCAAAATTCTTCAGACACCACCCATTTCTTTACATTTTGTTTCAAAGGAGTCAGACTTGTAGTTTTCCAGGCTTTTCAGAGAGCTTTTAAATTTGTGGCTGCTTTTTCACTCATTTCCAGTCCAGTCCCTGCAGATGAGAATTTTCAAAGACATTTTTTTGTTTTTTAAGCTGATTGAAGCATTCGAGGATAAGAAAGACATCTGACTCAAGGATGAACCAGTGCTGTCTACAAATAAGAGAAAACTTAGCCAATTTTAAACTGTATCTTTAGGCCTGCTGCAAAAATCCGTTTTTGGTCTAAAACTCAGCATATCTCAGCACGGTGTGCAGCCGGGCCCTTTAAAAACAATTTGATGAAGTTGGACAAATGAGGGGAAAAAGAAGAAGCAGCAGGTCTAGAAAAACCTGCTACATCAGATGAACACCATCTAAAACAAAACAGGAAAACTCTAGCAAAGACCCGACAGATGCATCTCGCCTTTCAGTTGATTCCTCTACTGCTCACTGAAGCCTAATGGTGATTCAAGAATGTTGGACACTACTGTAAACAGTTTGCATTTACTATAACATGCAGAAATGTTCACAAAAGTACACTTAACTCCACAAATTCTACATTTCTATGAAGTAATTTGTTTTCCTGTCCTGAACATGACAGATGTTCTAAACCAAGATAATAAGTGAAATTTCCCTTAAAGGTTTGTTTACAATCTCAGGAGCCTTACTGGCTCGGCAGCAGAGAGCTGAAAGTCTACACCTGGTGCTGCGAGGTTAACAGGCTTCTGCCCTGAAGCAAACATCTTTACAGCTGATAATGAATCTTTAATCTGGATTTAAACTCAGTGAGCAGCACCCACAGTCACACAGCTGATGCCTCAACACTGCAGGGACAAAATATAACAGACTTCCTGGGAAGCTTTGTTTCGGGAACTTGAGACATCTTTGATTGTTAGCCCTCATTTACAATTTACTGAGTCAGTAAGAACAAACCGAGAGAACATAATGCATTTAGCAGCCTTAATGTGGAAAACTCCTCTAAGTGACATCCTAGAAGCCGTTTTGCTCTCGTCAACATCAGTCATGGTCTGTCTTATAACAAAGAGGTGAGCAGAGACGTGCTTCTCCCAAAAAGAAGCTATTTTTAAAGTCAGCTCACACATCCATCTGGGGATTAGGATGTCCTATCCACCCGAGCAGCTCGGTGATGTTCTTAGCCATTTTTTGCCTTTCATGGTTGTTTTTATTCAAACGCTGCTAAATATGGTTAGCAGGGCCATCGGGGTTAAACCGGAGGTATTCGTTTGGAAATGAGGTCCCTGATCGTGGCCAGATGTAATTAACTGAGAAGCACTGAAAGTGGGAGCAGGCTCAGGGTTCACTTTAAGTTGGCGTTCGTGGCAGGAGAGGTGTAATTGTAGAAATCCACTCAGGTTTTAATGAGGAGACTGAAACACTGCCTACCTGGCAGGGTAGCTTGCAAATCTTGACTAAAAATAGAAATAAAAACATCACTGTTTAAAACCGGATCCCTGGAACATTGGCTTGGAGATGAAGTGACAATAAGACTCATTCAGTTTTCAACCAAGGAATTATCAGCAGGCTCAAACTGCTGAAGCTGACGCACATCAGACTGTCGAATTTAACAATTTCCTGTCACATAGAAGTAACCATCACAAAGCAATAAGAGCAGTTATCATGTTTGATTACACGCCACCACAGGCGTAGTAAATCTACACAAAACAAATACTGTTAGTTAGGTTCCCTCCCGGTATCTCTCACAGTGTTTCAAATATAAAACAATGCTAATGCTCACAGAAGTATTAGCCTTCCCCTGGTAGAAAATTAGACTGGGGCTTAAATTTACTGAAGCATTAAATATAGTTAATTTCTCTAATAGACAGAAATAGCAAGAAAATTAATATGAAAAACATGAACTGCATTGTTTTTTTATTCAATTTGCTCGTGTCTGGGTGGACAGCTATAAAACGGTCCATGCCAACAAGCTGGCCAATTTTTTAGTCATTCTGACACCAGTTAAAAACCAATCAACCCAGTGAGCTTTGTGGGACGACTAATAATTACCTAATCACTACTAGGGCTGCCACGATTAGTCGACTAGTCACGATTA